TGTTTGGAATACTTCCTTGGCATATCTTAGCTATTCTCTGCCGTCCGTTCTTCATGGCTTAGCTCAGGGAAGTTTTCCCTGAAACCTGAATCTGTAGACAGTGAACTTCTAAATAACATGTGGAAGACATATTATCTCTTAAAATGGTTTATTTCAGGTGGTTAAGATGGTTACCTTCAACTTCTGTGAACTTACTTGTACTTTATAAGTCTCAAAATTGAAGCATTACTAAATCACTCAAAGATTGTTTTTAAGCTGAAATGTTTGCATAATAGCACAATAATACGTAATAGCTGCCAAACTTTTCCATAGTGGTTGCACCTTTTAACAGTTCACCAACAGCATATGAGCGTTCCAGTTTCTCCGCATTCTCTCCAACACGTCTTATTGGCAGTCTTTTTAAGTTTAGCTATCCTAGTGGGTGTGAGGTATTATCTCATTGTGGTTCTAATATGTATTTGCCTCATGACTAATGATGTTGAGGAGCTTCTCTTGTGCTTATTGCTCATTTGTATATCTTCTTTGTAGGAATCTATGTTCAAATCTTTTACTCATTTTTAATTGGGTTATTGGTCCTTTTTTCTTGTTGAATTGTAGGAGTTTATATATTGTAGATATAAGCCCCTTATCAGATAAATGGCTTGCAGATATTTTTTTCCCATTCCGTGGGTTATCTTTTTAACTTTCTTCATGGTGTCCTTTGCAGCACAAAATTTTAAAATTTTGATGATGTGCAATCTTTTTCTTTTGTTTCCTGTACTTTTGGCATTATGTCTAGGATGCCATGGTCAAAAAGATTTAAGCCCATGTCTTCTAAGAGTTTTATAGTTTCAGCTCTTACATTTAGGTTTTTGATCCATTTTGAATTAATATATATAAATTATATGGTGTGAGGGAGGGGTATAGCTTTAATCTTTTTTGTGTGGTTATCCAGTTGTCCCAGCACCATTTGTTGAAAAGAGTCTCCAAGTATTCTTTACCAGGGTGAATAGTGTTACTATTTAGCATATAAGACAAGCTAGAAATCTAGTTCATCATCATGTCCTGTCATTTTTACCTCTACTTCTACTATTTCTGCACCTCATCACCCTGTCCAAGCTACATTAGGCTGTTGTTTAGACTTATGTAATAGGTTCCAGACTGGTCACATTCTCACCACTTTTACTCTCCACTCCTTTTATTTTCCAACTTGTGGCCTTTATTTATTATTATTATTTTTCATACCACAGTTCAGAGTCTTCCTTTTGCTCTTAAGATCAATATAGAAATTCTACAGTATGGCCCATAGGACCCTGTAGGATCCCCACCCACTTCTTTAGCCTGTTTTTGCTTTGTATGTTGTCTTGATTTCTTCAATCCAGATATTTCTCAGAGGAGTGTTTCAATATGCTCCCTCCACCATAGCTACCAACGTGCCTGCATCCTACTTGTGTTACTCTGCCTTCCCATCTGTAACTGAATGAACGGTTATCTAAGGCCAGCCCTATTAGAAATTGGCCAGATTCCACCCCTCTCATTTAGTCCAGAACATCGCTTTATCAGTTGTCCTGTCTCTCTTCTGTGTTGTTAGTTATCATTCTAATCAACATACAAACATGATGTTATTTCTTCTATCTTAAAAAAAAACCCCAACTCTTGACCCTACATTTCATTCTGTCTATGATCCCATTTCCCTGCTCCTCTTTTGCATCAGAATGGGAATTACTTATACTTGGCTGTCTCTTAACTTCTCTCCTGCTGTTTCTGCTGAACCCACTCCTGATTTTTGGGTCCCACTATACTACACTGAGCTCATTTATTTATCTCCTTGTCACCAAGTCCTGTGGTCAGTTCTCAGTTCTTATCTTAATTTTTCAGTAACATTTGGCCCAGCCCATTACACTGTCCTTGAAATACTTGCTTCTGTCTTGGTTCTCCTTTTACCTCACTGGTTGCTCCTTCTTGGTCTTTTCTCTTGGTCACTGCTCATCTTGGATTTCTGTCTGTTGGGAGGATGCCCTAGGGTCAGCCTGCAGACCTCTTCCCTTTCTTCTGTGCTGGTGTGTATGTTTATCCTCAGATTTAATACCATTTATATGCTCATGATGACATGTGCTTGCTTCAGCCTGGACCTCTCCTAGGTGCACATGTACCCACCTTCCTCCTGGACATTTCTACCTAGATGTCTAATAGCTGGTTCCCTTGCTTCTTTCAGGTCTCTGCCCAAATGTCACCTTACTGGAGAGGTCTTCCTTGTGGTGCCCACCAGCCCCCACCATATAAAATGAAGTAACTCCTCCTTTGCTTATCCTTCTTTTCTTAATTGTTTTCTAGAACATTTATCATGTATTATTTATGGTCTTTTGCTTCCTATTGGTATGTAGCTCCATGAGGATAGAGTTCTTACCTGTTTGGTCACTTTTGTGTCCCCAGTACCAAGAATAATAAGCATCGATTATGTGTCAAAGGACTGAGTGAGTGAGTGGATGAATGTTGGCCATCTTTAGTGCTTCACTCTCGCCGTGCTCCCCCTTCCTCACACGTTCAGTTCCTTCTGTTCTTCCATCCCCTCCCTCAGGCAGCTTCTTGCCTCTCACTTCCATAAGCATCACTTCCTCATCAGACCTTTCCTGTCCTGATTGTAGTCTCTGATTGCAAGCGCCCTTAGCCGTGGACTCCTTCATAGTAGTGATCATATCAGTTTCCATTCATTTTTGCTATTCTTTGTTAATACCTGTCTTCTGTTTCCCTCCAGTTGCACTCCTTATTTTGCTCTCTGTTAAATTCTAAGGGCCTAGCACAGAGTCAGATTCTCAAGAAATGGCAGGTGTTTGTTAAAAGAGTAAATGAATGAACAAATTAAAATATTCTTATGATTTATATAACTAACGACCCATCTGAGTTGGTAAATTTCTGTAACATTTGCTTAAAAAGAAAATAGGATTAAAATTTAATGATTTCATAATTTTAAGTTGATATAGAGGCTAGTAAGCATAAATACAGTTAACATCACTGCTTTTGGCCAAGAATTTACTGGGCTGTGGCCTCCCTCTGTTGTGGAAACCGGTCCTTATCATGGCTGGCCATCCAGCCTCTGCCACCACCCACAGCATCTGGCACTCTTCATTCTAAGTCCTGAAGTTGGTCTGCTGTAAACTAACCCTTTGGGTTTGGGGTTGCCCTCTTGCCCTTCATATATGTAGAGAGTTATCTTATCCTTTATTAAATGAAATATAGTCTCACTTCCTTCTGTTGAGATTTTTGAGCTCTTTTGGGCCCATGTAATGCTCCTGAGGGATTTTATGTAAAGTGTGTTCCAACATAGACTCTATTTATATACCAACTACCAAAGGGTAACTTTTAAAAAAGACTTTTATTAGTAAGGCTCTTGAACTGGAGGTGGCAGTTTCCAATATATTAATGATATGTTTAATAGAAGTATGTCTAATAGAAGAATTACTAGCCTTAATAATTTATTGAGCTCATTATATTATTGAGTATGTGCGTATAAATATTAAATAGTTTTGGGAGAAAATAGCTATTTCAGTGTTTATTACTAGTGGGTCAAATTATGTATTAATGGATGTAATCCTCAAACAACTTTAGGCACTATCCTCATATTATATATGAAGAAATTAATGTACGTGAATCTTAGAAATAAAAGATTTTCTTAATCTCATTGTCACTGCAGGCAGTGTAAACATATTTGATCCTTCTTAATGATTTCAGAAGATAAAATAACCATGTCAAGAAAGGTAATCTGTTTCCAATTTCCTCAGAATTTTTGGTCACTAGTATCTTCTCATTAAAAGAAAAATACTTTATGCTCTTTTCTTTAAAATACTTAAATATTTAACAATGCCTTTGTAATAGATGAGATTAGAAAATGTGTATATGATTGTTCCAGAACTTGGATGCATTGGGAAACACTTTTTTTTTTTTCCATAGCTATTTACTGTTTTTTTTGGAGTAAGTACAAAGTTTTTTTTTTTTTTTTAAATGGATACAGGTCTCTATAATAATACTTTAATAATAATAGAAACTTAAATTATTATTTTTTTGACCTTATCTGTTGTCTTAAAGAAGTGCTGTCTCAAAAACAATTTTTAGGGAAATATTTTATCCTAAATATGTTGATTATCCAAGGTTGAAAACATTTCACCTGAAAGCTTAAAGATTTGTATCTTGGCAATAAGATGATCACTTCACTTTCAGTATTGTTTAAATCAGTGCATGTGTGGCAGCTGAAATGTTTTCTTCTCTAAAGTTTCAGCGTGGAGCTTTTTCTCCCTTTCTCATACTTTTTCAAAACTTCTTGTCTATAAAGATTCAAGTCTGGATTGGGGATTTATTTCTAGAAATGTGTTAAACACTTTTCTGTAGACATTTGCTTATGAAGCTGCATCAAGTAGGTGCCATGGTTACTATCATCTCTGTGACTCACTCTGCTTCTTCACAACCCCTTCACTCACCTTTGTGTCCTCTGCTTGTCTGGTTTCTCTGCTTTCTGTTTCCCCTCGTTTGAGAATGGGTTTGTAATTCTGATGTTCTGTCATGGTGCTTCGGTAGAGTAGCCTGGTGTCCTTTCTGGATAGTTAAGAAATGAGCTGGTCAACAGGAGTAGTTAAAATGGAGCAAGCTTAGCTGTTCCTTGTCCCTTGCGTTAAACATAATGAGTTTAGAGGATTATGACTCCATGTAATCATTGGGATCTGCTAGACAGAACATCTGTTTTACTTTTTACTCATTACACTGGTGTAGAAATAGCATTTTTTTTTTAATGTGAAAATTATTTTGTGTTCTAGCTAGCACTGGTGACTTAATTTTTGAAATGTGCTTTCTGGAATAGCACATACTATAAAATTATCTTAATAGGACTGGATACTCATTATTAGTCTGAAAATATTTGTTTTCTAACTGTGAAAAAAGGTTTCTGGGAACGTTTGAATTTTCATTTATTCTAGACCGCATTAGAATTGTTTAGTATATTCAAATATTTTTCCTTTGGTTTTATTTCCTAGGTTGCACGTTTTCAAAAAATTCCTAATGCTGAAAATGAGACAATGATTCCTGTATTGACATCAAAAAAAGCAAGTGAATTACCAGTCAGTGAAGTTGCAAGCATTCTCCAAGTAAGTGCTTGGTGGGGAGGAAGGGAGTGGATAGTAGAATGAGTCACTTAGACCCTATAGATAAGTGCTATCTGGTAGAATTTTCTGTGATGACAGAAATATTCTGTTCTGCACTGTCCAGTGCAGTAGCCACTAGTTAAACATGACAGTTGAGGATTTAAAGTACAGATAGTTTAGGGGAGGAACTGAAATTAATTTAATTTAGTTTTTATTCATTGAAATTTAAATAGGTGCATGAGGCTAGTGGTTACCTGATTGGACAGTGCAACTCTAGATCATTAGTATTGCTAGGGACTATTTGTGCTTTGTGAGGATTAGTTGGATTAGGAAAATAATTTAATTACTAACATAAGTAGAGTTAGGAGTTTATCTTTTTTTAGGTGTTTTCTAATGTAAAAGCTAAGTGCAAGTTCAGAACTGCAAATAAACTTTGCTTATGTAATTTAATCTCTTCCTAGTTTTAAAAATCACAATCTAATGAAACATGAGGAAAAGAATATTTAAAATTCTTCCTTCAGAATTTACATATTTTAACAATGGCATTAAAAACATCGGTTATCCTTTTCTTGAGGTTTTTTTTGGGAGGCGAGTTGTATTTATACTCTGTTTTAAAACCACTTACTCTAAATATATTTGTGTCATAAGACTATTAGTGAACTCTGTTATAAAGCTTTTGGCCAGAGAAACTTAATTATTTTAGAGATGCAAATAATTTATTCTTTAATGATAGTTAAAATAATAAATCACGAGAGGCAGTGACTGAAGAATGTAGGTGGTGTTCATAGGGCATAAAATGTCCCAAGAACAAGTTAATGTTAACTTCATTATTTTGAGTAATTTAGGAACCACAGATTTTCTGCTTGGAATAAATATACAGTCCAAGAACAAAGGGTAACACCAATCTCAGAATTTTGATAGGCTCAGAGAGCAAGAAACATGCATGATCTTTTGGAGAAACTAATTTTAGAAAACAACAAGACAACAGTGAAAATGAAGAAAACTAGTTAAAATGTACTGGTATTTTGTTTTCTGTACATCCTGACTGGTTTGTGTTATTTCTGTTTCTCCGAAGAGAATCATATTTTTTTTGTTTGTTAAACTCTATCTTGTTGCTTACATTAAAATTTTTTTTATTGAGGTATAATTTATATAAAATACAGTGTACTCATATTAAATGTACAGTTTGCATTTTGACAGATGTAACCACTACCACAATTAAGATGTAGAAAATTTTCATCACTCCGAAAAGCTTCCACATGTTTTTTGCAGCTAATCCCTCCTACTGCTCTGGCCCCAGGCAACCACTGATATGCTTTCTGTCCCCATAGATTAGTTTTGACTGTCATAGAAGTTCCTGTAAGTGTGATCATACGTATGTACTTTTTTTGTGTTTTCTTTTTTTTTTCTCTGCTAATATTCTCAGTGACTTTTATGGGTAAAATCTCATAGGCTGATCTTCAGAATGGTCTAAACAAATGTGAAGTAAGTCATCGGAGAGCTTTCCATGGCTGGAATGAGTTTGATATCAGTGAGGATGAGCCACTATGGAAGAAGTATATTTCTCAGGTGAGATATTTTTATTTTCTCCTGCTGTGTAACTTACATGTATTTCTGTAAATGTAGTTGTTTACTTTTGTGAAGTTATTTATGGAGAAAGGAAATAATTTTTTAAAATGTTTTTTACCTAAATTTTTTCATTTGTTAGAGTTTATTGTTACATTGGAATTTCTATGATTTTAGTGTACAAATCTTTAAGGACATATTACATGGAGGTGATACTATTAACAGTAGTTTCCTTTGCAGGTGTCTTAAATATTTTTTATTATAGAAATGCTAACTTTTTTAAAAGTAATATGGCTAGCTTAGAAAATTAGTAAAAGTTAGGTCATTTGACTGCCTGGGTACAAGTTCCACCTTTATTTCTTACTAGCTCTGTGCTCTTTATTATCCTCTGAGCCTTATCTATAAAATGGGGATAATAATCTTAGGAGATAGTAAGCTATCAGTAGATTATAGCTATTTTTAATTATATTTTATTAATGTCCTAATCTTTTCAGAAAGATTTACTGTAGGATTTTTCTTATCTTTATGACAAGTATATTAGTGAAAAGCTAAAAAACTCCTATGGGGCTTCCCTGGTGGCGCAGTGGTTGAGAGTCCGCCTGCCGATGCAGGGGACACGGGTTCGTGCCCTGGTCCAGGAAGATCCCACATGCCGCGGAGTGGCTGGGCCCCTGAGCCAGTCTGGAGCCTGTGCTCCGCAACCGGAAGAGGCCACAACAGTGAGAGGCCTGCGTACCAAAAAAAAAAAAAAAAAAAAACTCCCATGGCCAGTTTTCAAGTAGTAAGATTAGTTTGCCATACAAATAAATTCTTTTTTTTTGGGGGGGGTACGCGGGCCTATCACTGTTGTGGCCTCTTCCCGTTGCCGAGCACAGGCTCTGGACGCGCAGGCTCAGCGGCCATGGCTCACGGGCCCAGCCACTCCGCGGCATGTGGGATCTTCCCGGACCGGGGCACGAACCCGTGTCCCCTGCATCAGCAGGCGGACTCTCTAAACCACTGTGCCACCAGGGAAGCCCCAAATAAATTCTTTTTAGTGAAGAAACTTTCTAATGCCTTCTAAGCTACAGGTTCTTTTTTAAAAATATCATCGTTTAACTTTTCTAAAGGGCCTTGCTTGTTAATGAACCAAAATTTATCATTTTTAACTTATTTAAATGAATTTGTCTAAAGTAGAAAAGCTGAATTTTTAGAGAAGAACCTTGTATCTGTCTTGTTTTTATTGGAATATTTTTTATATGTATATTTGTATTCTCACATTTACCACATTTCCACATTACGTAAAACTTCAGAAGTTTACTCTGGATTTATAAATTACAGTGATTTGACTTATCATTAGGCAATGTGATTTTTAATGTTTTGCTTTCTTGATCCTGTTTCAAAGCTAGAGTTACCTGCATCATGAGATTGCTGTGAGAATGAAATGAAATAGTGCCTGTAATGTAGTTAAGTGCAAGCAGTAATTAACAGTAAATATCAGTTGTTAATCATAAAGCACTGGACCACTCCTCACTCCTCTGCAGAGAACACTGAATTTGTTGTTCTGCAAACATTTGGAGCCTGCCATCTATCAGGTGGTTTCCTTAGTACCACGGCACAGCTGGTTTAGGGTGAAATAAAATGATCATGGGCCTTGCTCTCAAAGTGTGGTGATAGCAGCTAATGTTTGAGGGGTTTGTAGTTTACACAGTGATTTAATATACATTCTTGGTTAATGCTTACCACAGTTTTTGGTACAAGGTAGGGAAGTACCCCCAGGGCTTAAAAAATTAAGGTCACACAAAATTGGAGCTGGATTCAGACCCAGGTACTCTGGCTCAGTTTGTGTGTAGTTTGTCAACCCTGAACCACATTGCAGTTGTACTTTTATTTTGCTGGAGCAGTGATTTTCAATCCTCTGTGCATTAGAATCACTTGGGGAGTGCTTTAAAAATGCTGAAGCCTGGGCCCTGTGCCCAGAGATTCTGATTTGATTGCTCTGGTGTGAACCTGGGCATTTGTTGGAAACTCTTCACGTGATTCTGATGTGAAGCAGGGTTGCAACAGCTGTGCCAAGGAATGGAGCCATAAAGGGAGTGGGAGGTGGTGGCGTCTAACTTCACAGTTATGATATCCAGGGGCTGAGGCTCTCTGCTGGGATGGATTCTTCGCAAAGTTACTTTGCAACTTTGACGGTGATTGGCACCGTTTCATCAGAGGAAGGCACTCTGGCAGCAGAGCTCTGACGTTTAACTAGGATGTCCAACTAGAATTTGGGGTGGCTCTGGTGCTTGGTCATTTAAGAGCTGCCTGATTGAGTTGGTGCTGTGGTTTGTTTCTTTAGATACTTTTGTCTCTGCTAGCTAGATGTCAGGAAAACCAGTGTTGGGGAAATCTTCAGCTTCTTCTGTGGTGAGGATCTTACTGTCTGCTCTTAGCTGCCCCACCCCTCCCCTGGTGGGGGGTGGTTATTCCTGTGGTGGGTGGGTCAACCACAGAATTGTAATCTACACCCATTTACTTATAGTATAGGAATGCTGAGGAATGTTTGGAATTTATAATTTAGGTGTTCTACCCAGTGCTTAGTGTAAACCTTTAGCTTCAAAGTTATTTTCCATTTATTCTAGCCCGGGTAGAAATTCAGAACAGCTTATAGTATACTAAAAATACATGTGTACTATAAGGAATTGATAAATTCTTAGTTTTAAGTAATAATGCCCTGATAGTTGTTTTTTTAGGCTTTTGCTGTGCTGGTGCACAACTGTCTTTCATACAAAACTGTTGAATTGCTGTTTTTTTTTCACTTTCAGTTTAAAAATCCCCTTATTATGCTGCTTCTGGCTTCTGCAGTCATCAGTGTTTTAATGCATCAGTTTGATGATGCTGTCAGTATCACTGTGGTAAGAAAAAATATATATTTTTAAAAATTGTTAATCATATAAATTAGGATTGGCTTTTATTTTAGAAAATGAATTGAGACATGCCTTAATGCTTCTTCAGGTTTTTTTGTTAAAATCCAAATTCTGGTTTTAGTTGCAGTGATCTCATGTAATGTTCAAGGGTCTGTGATTGGCACCCTAGAATTATTTAACAATCCGATAATTTCACAGATATGAAATATTTTATAATAATTTTCCAGTTAAATATTTATTTTACTTTCCAATTGAGAATACGTTTGAGTAATCGTGAACTGAAGCCTGACATTTAAAAAATTAAAAGTATTATTTAACAGTGTACTCTGTATTTTATTCTTTCCAGTTAGGTTATTCTGGCTTTCATCTTTTTTTTTTTTCTTGCCCTTCTGTTTCATTGTAGTATAAAAATTTATAGTAAGTATAAGCATTGATTAAAGCAAGTGTGTTAGGCTTAAGAACACAGTAGAAATGAACGTAGAGCTGTGATTCACCAGCTCTTGCTTGTGGACTCCCAGGAGTCTCTGAGATTCTTTTAAGGGAGCATATGAGGTCAAAACTACTTTCATAAAACTAAAAACATTGTCTTTTTGCTATAGACATTTGCATCAGTGGCGCAAAAGTGATGACGAGTAAAACTGTTAGAGCTTCGGCTTGAATCAAAATAATGGCAACAAACTAGTAGTCATTGTTTTCTTTCACTGTTTGTTTCTCTTAGCAGTGTTTTTGATAAAAAAGTAAAAATTAATTTTATTAAGTCTTGATCCTTAAATATATACCTTTTTAATGTTCTGTGTGATGAAATGGGAAGTACGCATTGAAGTATGATGGTTGTTTCAAGGAAAGGCTGTGTGCTGAGCTGAACTAGCCTTTTACTCGAAAGAATGACTGATAGACAAACTATGGTTATTAAGACTTGGATAACTGGCATACTTTTTTTGAAAGTGAGTGGCATGAGCCTATCACTACAAGAAAAACAACTGACAGAATTTGTTGCCAATGGTAAAATTCAAGCTTTCAGTGATAATTAGAATTTTGCAAAAATTTTATGCATTATTTTATGCTGGACAGCTTCCCAGTATTTAAGACCTTATTCTAATAAGATCAGTAGTGATTTTAGTGAATGTGATTTTTTTTTTAACTATTATGAAATGTGTCAACACTTGAAAGATTTGAATAACCAAGTGAATCAATCTTTTCTAAATGACTAGTGCATGATGATACAAAATGTTCGGTGACAAAAGAGCCATGAAACATGCAAAAGAGATCAGTAGATTTTAATATAACAGATTATGAAAAGTTCATTGATATAGTTTTAAGTTCTATATTGCAAATTACTTTTGAAGTAACAGTTGTCTAATTTTGGTGTAGCTAAGAATAATATCCATAATCATCTGAAAAGGCTTTTAAAATACTCCTCCCTTTTTCAACAATATCTGAATGAGGCTGAATTTTGTTCATATACTTCAGCCTAATCAACATATCAATAGATTGAATGCAGAAGCAGATACGAGAATCTGGCTTTGTATTAAAGCAGACATTAAAGATAGAAAAATTGAAAACACTGCCACTTTTCCCACAATTTTTTGGGGGGAATATTTTTCATAAAAAATGTTGTATGTTAACATGTAATGGGCTTACTTTTTTTTAGATAATAAGTAGAAATTAAAACTGAGTGATTGAAAACGTATTTAATATGGTAAATATCAATAGCTGGAAGTCACATAAACAAAAGCTGGTCCTCTGTTTGTAAGAGCATAAAGGGATCCTGAGATCAAAGAGTTTGAGAAGCCTTCCTGGGGAGGCAGGTCCCTGTCACCTGTCTGTTTTTCCCCACAGGCCTCAAGGCGGAGTTGTGATTTCTTCCCTGGATGTTTTGTGCTTAGTGTCTGGTGTCTTGGGGCTGCAGATAGAGTCAGAAAAATAAGATATGATTAACAGTTATTACAATGTCTTATTTAAAAAGGTTGTTTGTTTTGTTTAGGCAATACTTATCGTCGTTACGGTCGCCTTTGTTCAGGTGAGTAAGTAGCCTATTTTGATGACATAAAAATGGTATTTTAGTTAATTGCTTAAAAAATCAAGGTGGTTTATGTTAGTTAAAATGTATAGTTAATGGGTATGTTGGTCAGAACAATTTATTCTTTGTTTTTGAAATAATTTCAAAAACAATAACTCTGCAAGGAAGTTTGTGGAACCAACTTGACTGCTTTGGTTTAGGCAGTGGCATGAAGAAATCTAGTTTTTTTTTGATGATGTTAAAGATAACTGAAGCAGATGGAAGCAAAAAGTACAGTAATAGAAATAAAATCCAGCAGTAGGCTTTTAAATTTTTTCCAGTTAACAAATTGGGCCAGAGTTCAAATTCCTCATTCCTCAATGGAAGGGATGTTCTGATCTGGATTGAACTCCCTGTTCAGCATAGACATTGGAACAGTAAAGAAGATATATGAAAAGGAACCCCCTTTAAAAAATTAATGTGAATAATGTGGAGATAATGTCTGGATTTCTGTTGACCAGTATAGATATAAATAAAAACATGGGCTTAGTTTTATGTTTATTTAAATATCTGATAACTTCTTTAGGTTTTAGAACAGTGTTGGCAGGTGTCATTTGATTAGCTAAAAGTTTTAAAGCATGGTTAATAAGACTAGAAGAATTATTCTAGTTTAGGGAAAAATTAATATGGCATTTGAAATTCATGTTAATTTGAATCTTAAGACTATATGTTAAGTGGCTGTGGTTATTTCCACATCTATGATTTATTCCTTGGGTATTTCCTGTCATCATCCAGTTTTCCTGTGGTAATCTCTAATTTAGTAATTTGTTTTATAGTCACCCAGTGTAGAAAAGCCGGTTTTAATCAGGTTGTCTGCAGCAAGTTTGTGAGTTGCATTAGTACACCATCAGGAATCCTGTATCTAGGGAATACTTTTGCTTAGAACAGATAAAAGTTGCCTTAGGGCAGGTGGCGGGTTAGTTTAGTAGAGGTTATTCCAGGCTGAGCCTCATTGGACACATTTGGCTATTCATTTGGTCATGTGGGTGGTACGCCGCACTGGACCAGTAACTGGAACCCTTTTGCATCTTTAATAATGCTACAGATGTATGGAGTGGCTTGCTTCAGAAGTATTCTTACAGTATTATCACTTTGTATGGAAGACATTAGTAGCTTGGTAATAGCCCCTACTCTCAGAAAAAATCCCACAAAATTTCTATTTTAACGTACTCAGTGTGGACTTTTACACAAAGATAGTGTGTTACACACCTTAAATGTAGTGGCTGAAACCATCTGCCAAATATCTTTATGATAGGTTCATTTGATAGGTTCATTATTTATATGTGTTTTTACCTGTGTTTTAGGAGGAGAATGCTTTTTATTATTTACATCTGCCTTCCCCCCTTTCTAATCTCAATTTCCCATCCTCATTGTACACCCTTGCAGTCATAAAAATAGCTAATTGTTTCGTATAGTCATATATTGATGCCACCTTACAATAAATTTAAAATTTAACTTTTAGGTGTTCATTTGAGATGGCTGTCAAGTTTGTGTTGAAGGATCATTTTGATATAGAGGTATCTTTGTAGTTGTAGTGAGTAAAGGCTAAGAAGTCTGAAGAGGGAGGTAAAGATTGGGCAGCTTCTATGTCATTTATTAGGATCTAGGAGTAGTGAGTGTTTTCTAGCCTTTTATGGAATTTTTGGTTAAAACTTCCAAATTCCTTAATATCCTTGGTATGATTGGGGGAGGGGTGTCTTTGTAATTTTTTTTTAAAATTGAAGTATAGTTGAGATGCAGTATTGTTTCAGGTGCAGTATACAGTGATTTGATATTTGCATGTATTATGAAATGATCACCATAAGCCTAGTAACCATCTGTCCCCATACAGAATTATTGTAATGTTCCTTATGCTGTATATTACCCTGGGTGTCTTGTGATTTTTATATTTACAGATTTACCTTACTCTCACATTTGTTCCTCTTGCTTAAGTAGTAAAGACAGATTTAGTTCTAAGTTATTCATATACAGCTTTGTGTTTTCTATTTGAAAACGTTTGTGATAGGTGTGCAGTTTTGATTAGTGCTAGCACTGCAGTCATTTCAAAACACCCCCCGACTTTCACTCCCACTACTCTCCCTACCCCTTCTTCTCCCTTTTTTTTTTTTTTTTTTTTTTGAGGTACGCGGGCCTCTCACTGTTGTGGCCTCTCCTGTTGTGGAGCGCAGGCTCAGCGGCCACGGCTCATGGACCCAGCCGCTCCGCGGCATGTGGGATCTTCCCGGACCGGGGCACGAACCTGTGTCCCCTGCATCGGCAGGCGGACCCTCAACCACTGTGCCACCAGGGAAGCCCTCTTCTCCCTTTTTAACCTTAGATCAAAAGATTGGTGTACTTAGTGCAGACATGAGACAAAAATAGCAGTGATGTTGTGTGAAGCAAGACAGCCCACATTACTGAGGTGAAGGTTGTCTCTGACTCTCAGCTGTGATTGTATGGTTGGAGGAAGGCTGGAGCCTCACAGTTAGGGCCCCTGAGAATTTCCCCTTTCTAGGTAATTCAGTCATGGGAAAGGGTAGGGCAGCCACATCTCTCTCCTTGTTTAACTTACGTTCTTCCCACGAAGATTTGTTTCACAAACCTTGCCTTGGGCTTGAATCCTCAACACCAGTGTTGTTTGCAGTTAATTGTCTTTGACTTCCTTGGTCATTAAACACTAAAAGTAAAGTTATCTTAATTATGAGGCTCAATGATCTTAACTTTTAATGACTGAAAACTACTTTTTGGACACACTAATCAGTTTTCTTCACTTTCTTATAAGTAACTTGACCTTAGGTTTGCACACTGAATATTGAAATAGAAAATTGAGGGACTTCCCTGGTGGCCCAGTGGTTAAGACTCGCACTTGCAATGCAGGGGACGTGGGTTCGATCCCTGGTTGGGGAACTAAGATCCCACATACTGCGTGGTGTGCCAGCACCCTCCCCAAAAAATATATATATATAAAAAATTGAGAATACTTAATTATCAAAAATTGATTACTATATATTTAACATAAAGGACAAGCTTTTATGGGTAGGAATATAAATGCAAGTAAAGAAAAAGATAAAAATTGGGAGAAATGTTAAAATAATGATTGGGGTCAATATTTAGTTAAGTCTAACATAGTATATGTTCTTAAGAATGTACATATTTGCATTTCTTTATAAATTTTTTTCTTAATTTTTTTTTAATAGGAATATCGTTCAGAAAAATCTCTTGAAGAACTGAATAAACTTATGCCACCAGAATGCCATTGGTATGATCCTTGTTTCTGATACGGATTTCTACTCTTAAAAGTAGAAATTAAATGTGACTATTACAGTGTACATTGTGGCCCAATATTTGTTTAAACATAAGGTAGAAACCATTAATCTGACATGAAAAATTCATGCCCTATTCAGTATAGCAAGTTGTACTATTAAAACTTTTGTTACTTCTAATTTTGAGATTCTTGAGACATGGATTTATTCAACAGATACTTTCTGTGTGTGACTATGTGCCAAGCACTGTTGTGGGTGCAGTGATGTATAATCAGACCCTGGTGATTGAGAAGGTTGCTACAGTTTTCGCATTTTACATTTGAGCAACTGGATAGCTTTTCCAGTGCTTTGTTTTTTTTTTTTTTAATTCATCTGAGCATCTTAATTATCAAGAGCACAAGAGTAAGTCTTTTCTTGGTTTCTGTATTTGACTTATCTCCTTAGAAGTGGTGATAATGCAATATATTTTCCCTCAAGCAAGCCTACTGGAAGGAATTTCTTCAAATAAGTGGCCTGGCTTGCTTTCTTCCTCTGTGGTTGTTTCTGTTTCATGTTACAGTGTGCGTGAAGGAAAATTGGAACATACACTTGCACGAGACTTGGTTCCAGGTGATACAGTTTGCCTTTCTGTTGGGGACAGAGTTCCTGCTGACTTGCGCTTGTTTGAGGTGAGTTTGATGTCTTAGTCTGTTTGAGCAGCTGTAACAAAATAACACATAAATGTATTTCTCACAGTCCCGGTGGCTGGAAGTCCAGGATCAAGGCACCAGCATGGTCGCATCCTGGGGAAGACCCTTTTTCTGGTTCATAGCTGGTGCCTTCTTGCTATGTCCTCACATGGTAGAAGGGGCTAGAGAATATATCCAGACAAAACTCTTAATTCAAAAAGTTACATGCACCTCTATGTTCATAGTAGCACTATTTACAATAGCCAAGACATAGAAACAACCTAAATGTCCACTGACAGAGGAATGGCTAAAGAAGATGTGGTACATATATACAATGGAATATTACTCAGCCATAAGGAGAATGAAATAATGCCATTTGCAGCAATGGACCTAGAGATTATCATGCTAAGTGAGTAAGTCAGAAAGAAAAAGACAAGTATCATATGATATCACTTATATGTGGGATCTAAAATAGGACACAAATGAACTTATCTACAAAACAGAAACAGACTCACAGACATAGAGAAAAGGCTTGTGGTTGCCAAGGTGGGGGTGGGGGGTAGGGGAGGGATGGACTGGGAGTTTGGGGTTAGAAGACACAAACTATTATATATAGAATGGATAAACAACAGGGTCCTGTATAGCACAGAGAACTATATTCAGTATCCTGTAATAAACTATAATGGAAAACAATATGGAAAAATAATGTATATATATGTATAACTGAATCACTTTGTTGTACAGCAGAAATTAACACAACATTGTAAATCAACTATACTTCAATAAAAATAAAAAAATTAAAGAATAGTAACAGATGTATAAGTAATTTAATAAAGAAAGGAAACAACTTTTCTAATCTAAAAGAAGGCAAACAATAAGAAAGGAACAGAAATAGGAACATAGAATAAATAGATGGGTCAAATAGAGAACAAATAGTAGGAAGAGCTATAGAACCCCACTGTATTAGTGCTTATTTTAATTGTAAATGGATTAAGTATTCACTTAAAACACTGAGATTATCAAAGTGTTATAAAAAGCAAATGCAATTTAAAACAGTGACATATCTAAACATTTTTTTTCCCCTTAAAATATATCTGTTTTTCCCATAGAGTCTTTTGAGGTATCCATGTAGTAAATCAGCAGATCTTTATGGAAATGAGTGTTAGGCATTGTGGGAGACACAAAGATGGTGTGATAGAGCTCTTGCCCTCAGAGAGCAGACTGTCGGCATACACAAATCACCATAAGATAAGATAGAACTGCGTAAGTGAACGAGAACTACAAAGAATGGAGTAGAAAATTTAGAGAAGGGAGAGGTTACTTCTGATTTGAGTGAAATGAGCATGCCTCAGACAACATTGCTCTGGTGGTCATAAACGAAGGGTAGTACTGAACAAAGATGCAGCAGCAGCTGTATGTAGATCCCTGTGAGTGTTCTGGTATGTGATTAGAGCTGCAGTATGTTAAAGATAGAAAACATATGGTAGAATCAGGGGGCCTTGGATATGAAGCTCCACTGCAGATTTTATTGGTTGGGATTTAGCTTTGAAGGTTATACCTAGCTGGCAATGATGTTACGTTTAATCCTGCCACCGTGTGTAGAATATGTTGAAGGGATGGAGTAAGGCACCTAGTATAAGAAGCCCTCATAGCCCATGAGAATGCCAGTCTCATCTGTTATTGGAATTGACATGTACAGAGCTGACATTCTTTGAATACCTAGTGTGTCCCAAAACATGAGCATTCTCATGTGGAGGTTATGGAAAGCCTGAAGAACATTTGGAGTTATAAGTACAAGCTTCATTTAATCTTGAAATAAAGAAAGGTCTTTCTTCCAAATACTTAAAATTTATCCTTAGAAAGATATCAGATTGCTTTAATTGTTGAGTGCAAATAACACAATACAGCAAGTATTGGGAATGTTAATTTTACTTTATTACCTTCTTTCTCCCCTTAGTAGGTCTTTTTGTATCTTTTTTACTCACTTCTTGTCCCTTCCTCCTATCCCTAATATTTGGTTAATGATAAGACCTTGAATTATTCTTCCTTAGAGATGTAGTAGGCCTGTCACTTGATATAAATCATCTTCCCCTCCCCCAAAGAACCCTAACTTGAATCCATGAAGTTTTTGTCACCATTTATTATGGAGTGCTTCTCTTCTAATTCAGAAGCAGACCTCCTCAGTGGGATAGTTAGAAGATGATTTTCCCATTGTTTGAACAATTTGAGCAATATAACGACACAGAAGCTTTAAAACACCATTTGACTTAGTAAAGTATTTAAGGGTTTCATTTAAACAAGGGTTAATTGAGAATTATCTCAGATAATTGAAATTAATTTCTCATATAGAAAAATACTTGTCAGAATATGGATTAGTACATATTTTATCCATTCAGCAAATATATATCGAAGACTTACTGTGAGTTTAATAAGAGGGATTTTTGACATTTTAAAGCTTGATGATGTAAAAATTAGAAGTGTATGCTTTGTGGAGTAATTGATTAGTTTTGATTGTTTTCCCCCTACTTGTTAACTTTTCAGACACTTCATCAGCACGTTTTATTTGGCAGTGCTGTGCTTAGGTTGATTTTGTTCCAGTTAATCCACTTTACATATATAGTTGAACATCTTTAATTTCTTCTGTCACTTCTCTCCCCTACCTGGTACCAGAGGCATGTTTTTGCAACTACTTTGATAGTAGATTGAGACAACATTCCTAAAAGAATTGAGCCTTTCCTGCCGCTTCTAGATTTAAATGTACTGACCGAAGACATAAGAAAGCTGATAAGGTGAAATTCTCTTTTGGACACAGGTTACTAACTTTTTGTAATTAAATTGGCTTATTGGAGTGTTGTTTGCTGAATTTGGTTGTGGTGAATGATTATGTAAGGCTAGCTGGTTATTTGATGTTCCTACATGAAACAAACTCTTTGTTAGAGTATAAAGGAAACAGAAGACTCCTCAGTTATCCTTGGGCTATTATTAATTTTTCACAGATAAAGCACATGGATTTCACTTTGGAAAAAGTAAGCGTAGGACTTTTGCAGTATAGTTCTTTTCGTGTGGACATGGCCCGTGGCCAAGGTTGTCACTTCAGCATTGTCATTGCTGCAACTCTAGGGTTCCTGTCATAATTTCAGTGGTTCAGACTTTGGCTGTAATTCTTGCGTGGGCCTGTAGTAGCATCTTGTCAGCAAGTTCAGTGACTCACTGCTATATAACTTTTATCTGGTATTTTCTGGCTGTGTCTTAAGTCAATTCAGGCTGCTGTAATAAAATACAATAGACTGGGTGGCTTAAACAATAGATGTTTATATCTTATGGTTCTGGGTGCTGGGAAGTCCACAGTCAGGGTCTGGCAGAATTGGGTTGTTGGTGAGGGTGCTCTTTTGTCTTGCAGTCTTTTTGCTATGTCTTCATATGGTAGAGAGAGTGATCCCTCTTCCTCTTACAAAGCCACTGATCCCATTATGTGGGCCTCATCCACATTACCTTCTTTAACTCTGATTACCTCCCAAGACCCTATCTCCAGTTATCATCACATTACATTGGAGTTTAGGGCTTCAGCATGAATTTTGGGGGGACAGAATTCAGTCCATAGCAGGCTGAGCCTATCTTTTGTAAAACCCTTTTTAAAGAAGATTAATATTGATAACTTAAGGATTTCTGTATTTGGTTTTCTTGCCGGAGTCAGTTTTCCATGGCCAAGGAATGAGCGAATATGTGTTGGTGGCAGTAAGCTTACCAGCATAGGAACCTTAGAATTATTTGTGGAGCTGGGATAGTAAAACTTAGAGGAATTGAGCTATGGGCATGTTCTCCAGTTTTTTCCCTTAGGATTTTTATTTTAATTTTTTAGTAGTAGTTCAGAAGAGAGACCTCTGGCTAGTTAATTGGGGGCAGCCAAGGGATTGGTCAGACAGTGACTTTAGATGAAGCAATCTTATAGACTATACATACCTACATAACAGTACATTTTGCCTTTTTGGAAACATAACATATTTTCCATAATGTTCCAGGTAAAGTCTATATCAAAATTTGAACAAAGAATTCTTTGTAAGAGAAAACAATGTAAGAGTCAGAGGAAAAGAGGATTTCTTTTGGCTGTTGAAAATATTTTACCTCTTAGCTACAAGTTTTTAACTAAACACAAAATATTGCCTGAAATGTACCAAGATTTTCCTTCACTTGGAGTACTGAATGATTAATTCTGTTGATACTTTCTTTTGTGGCTCATGTGTTAGTGTTACTAGCCCATATCATTCTTTGAAACTGTCTTCAAAATCTACATACAGGGTACAGTTGCCACTTTTTTTTTCAAACCCAATTTTTGTTTAAATGGGAATGTCTTGATTTTTCATTTTTGAAAGATAGTTTTGCTGGATATAGAATTCTCTTTGATTTTTTTTTAAGCACTTTAAATATGTTATTCTACTGCTTCTAGCTGCCATGGTTTCTGATAAGAAATGGGATGCTAATCTTATTGAGAATCCCTTGTACGTGATAAGTTGCTTTGCTCTTGCTGTTTTCAAGATTCTGTCTTTGTCTTTCAGCAGTTTGGTTATAATATCTCTCAGTGTAGACGTTTATGAGTTTATCCTGTTTGGAGTGTATTTGTCTTCTTTGATGTATAGATTCCTGTCTTTCATTAAATTTGGGAAGTTTTCATCCAATATTTCTTCAGATATTCTTTCTGCCCATTTCTAGTTTTTTTTCTTCTAGGACTCTTATAATGCTTAAATTGGTATGCATTTTACACTTTGTCTTCCCTGGTATATGTGGTAGCCCTTCCAAGCCATTATTTCTTCAAAGAACTTCCACCTTAGTCTCTTCCTTTTCAGTCTTTTGGTTGTGTCTGCTGCTTGCCCTGTTCTGTGGTTTGCCTGCTAGTATATGTCTTTAATCTTTTGGCAGATACCTGGAAAGCTACTCTAGCTGGAGTCAGGATGTGAATTAAAGGTCAGCCTCTGCACCAGTCCTTCAGAGAACTGCCAGACAGG